TAAATATTTTTGCTTTTCGTAAAATTTAAGTACACTTTTCTCAAGTTTGAATTTTCTTGAAAAATATTTTGGTACACCTGTGGGCATGCTGCTTTCAATATTATGCCAAAAGCGTATAGATGTAAAGACAAAGGTGCGATTATTACCCCTCTACCGGTAAATATTTGAATAATGAATATATGCTGTTGTGCGTGTTGGTCCGTCTACCTCATACAAAGAAAAATTAGGAAGAATGCAACGATCAAAATAATGGTATATAACCACAATGTAATTTCGAAAAAATAATTAAACAAATACAAAAGGAATGAAAAACATTTTACGTGAGTGTGTATATCTTTTTTATACTTGCTCTCAAAATTCTTCCCATTCCGATTGAAGTGCAAACCAACTGCTTAGAGTATTTAAAACCCCAGTCCTTTGAGATATTTTTGACATTACGGATGGGGGAAAAAAACAACCTTTGAGTTGGTTTAAAGTTAATTGCATTAAAATGGACTTATATTTTTTACATCAAACAGATTTATAAAAACGTTTAGTTTAACAAATGAAATTTAAAAAAAAATGACAATTTTAGAAGAATATAATATCGATAATTTTGAATACTGAGTACGGGTAATTTATTTATCATCATTTCTTTAGTACGCGGATACCATGCTCAAAATTGTTTTCATTTCACAGTTATTAAGGTTTAAGTAAATACCATTGTTTATTTTGATTCAATATAGTCACATTTCTTAAGAACATATTGCTTAATTGTTTAAATATACCGCTATCACCGCTATTTGTTATCATTAAATATATAATCATTTATGTTCAGCTATTTAATTTTTTTTCCACATTAAACATAACAATTGACAAGACAGATAACGGCACAAACAAATAATAAGTTTGGTTGATAATAAACAGAGGACATTACAAAACAAAAGACAAAGAGCGTACAAGAGTTTAAAAAGAGTGTTTTTAAAATAAGTCTTTATCAACTAAATGAACCAATGGTGGGTATTTTTTTACCCTTTAATTATTTTTATATAACTTTTGAGGTAGTCCGTTTTACAAATATTACGTGCTAAATATTAGCTCTAGACATAGTAATTTTAACACAGGACAGGGATCATTTTGACTAAAGGAACATTAGTTTTCCAGCGTTTGTACAGGACCACAAGGTGATGATGTATACAAAAAAGCTAGCTCTGTTTTTTAGTAGCTGAACGAGGGAAAATTTTTGTCCCTATGGCATAACTTTTGTAGAGGTACATTTAGCATTGGGCATTGTTGTTAAATATGTTAAAATATGTTGTTTTATTCTTTGTATATCTATGCTAGCGGCATGATTTCTATAACCTTTTTCGTAGTAGCCTACCTTATACAAAATATCTTAGCTCTGGACATTGCAATTTCACACACAAAATAAAATGCCATTTTGTATATAGATGTATACCTACGGCATGGAAAATTTTGACGTCATGGCCGTTTTTATAGGACATCAACGTGTTGCTCGTACATACCAAATTTTAACTTTATAGTTTCTTAAGAGACTTTGGTTTTTATATATTTTCTTTTGAAGTCTAAGTTATCAAAGTAACACCTAAGCTGACCATAATCTATCCCAGGGGCATGATAATTTTGGTATACTAGTCTAGTAAATATTTCATCTCTAGGCACAAAGAACGATTTAAATGTGTTTTTCTATATAAGTAAAGATCCTCAGGGTGGACAATTTTGATTTCAGAGGCATGCTTTATTTTTCTTTTATAGAAGGCTACACGGTGATACTACTTTTCATATATTGAAGCTCTCTACGAGTGTCTATATTTACAATTATGCTTTTAAAAATGCATGGCAAAACTATGTCTTAATTTCGTTTTTTTTTTTCAAGTCAGCATCATCTGAAGGACCCACTTGTTACTAAATCTACGGGTAATTTAATTCAATTTTCACAACAGAATCATCTTTTATTCAAAAACACACAAATAATGAACTAACACACTTTTTTTTTATTTCATATATACATTGCTTATTCAAAAGTTAATTCGGGAAATCAAAGGAAATGGAGCTGAATGATGTCGCTTCACAAACACAAACAAGTTCTTTTTAGAACGACTTGGCGGGTTCTTTCAAGAACGACTTTTAAAAGCATGTTTATCATGCACAATAGATCATAAAGCACAAGCCTGGCCAACATTTGAAATATAAATAAAGGAATTTTTGATACAGTTAGTAAAAGAATCCCGTATGTTAATGCAATAGATGTAATTATGGTAAGAAGATCAAATTATTGCGCCGCTTTTTTGTATTTCAATCATCGACTGATAATTAAAATTGTCTTAACGCAAATTGCTTTCAATTATACATAGTTTGTCTACATTTATGTTGTACAAAGAGACAAAAGTCATTACAGTCTTTCACTGGTAGGATGAAATTCATTATCTTTTACATTATCCCTTTTGAACGTCTGGTATGAGTCATAACTAGGAGGATTGTCTGTTTTTTCGTTATCTTTTACACTTTCAGATGCATCATACCCTTTGTTATCCTCTTCCAATTTCTCAGTTAACCATTCATTTTTCATTTCTATATCTTTTGTGTCATCTGTATTATCTTTATTAAACCTGCTGCCATGTTGCGCTCCAACTACATCCATTAAAACAGCAAGAACAAATGCCGCGATGCCGTACCCCAGTAAGGTGTAAAGAAACGTTTCCGGACCATAATGATCGTACAAGAATCCTATCAACTTCATATAAATAATTCCACCCAGAGATCCGCCAAGTAAAAATACTGTAATAGCGATTCCAGTGACTTCTATATGGAAATTTGCCCAACCTATTCCTGACGGGAAGAGTGGGGCAATAAAGACAGCTAGTATTGGCATGATTACCCATAAAGCTAGTGGTCCTGAAGTTCCTAGGAATACCAAAGCAATAGATGATGCAAGACATCCACCTGTTTCTATCAAAATAAGAATTCTGATTGGAATCCACTTTGCCACAATGAAACCTAAAACCCTCCCGCAAGCAAATGCTATCCAAAATACAGTATTAATATACGAACCATCGTCAGTTGAGAAGTGGTGGTAGTCAATCGAAAATGCGCGTATGAATTTACCTCCAACTCTTTCCCCACCAACGGCTTGCATGAAAAACAGAAATACTAGCACAAATATTTCTATACCATACAGAAATCGTCCACCAGCACAAGTGGCAGGATTAAACATTTCTCTAAAGGATAAAGTCCTGGTATCAGATTTTTCGTGATTTGTCGCGTTGTCCTGTTCTTCTTTCAAAAGCTTCCGTTGCTTTGAACCGCAAAAGTGATACGTGTAAAACACAACTGACACCACGATTGCTATCAAACCTGCAATAGCGTAGCCGTATTCGATTTTTGAAGTCTCGGCCAAATACCTCTTCTCTGTTGTTGTTGTTGATCCCGGCGTTGTCGTGAAATTCAACCCACACTGAGAATCACATGATACGTTTCCGGTTGCTGTAGCATTATTGTCGTCTGGTGCAAGTTTTGCGAGGAAAGGATTTGCAATTAATGGAATTATAAAAGATCCAATGCCAAAACCACCATGTAGAATATGAAGAGGTGAAGCTGAGTTTTCTTTCCACATATTTATTATCAGTTTCTGGCCAGCTACAAATAAAAGACGTGCATAAAATTAAAGTCAAGCAATGATGAAAGACTAGTAGACGAAGCATATGACAAAATTATAAAGATATAAAAGGAATGTGAATAAATTTGAGACATTTTTGTCATTTTACACAATATCAAAGTATTCTAAAAGTTCTTTTAATTTATTTGCCTAAATAGGAAAGTTTTGAATATCGGTCGAACCTATATATAACATCAAAATACCTATATTTATAACGCCTTCGAAAGTTCCTCCACACAAGCTTACAAAGAATATCAGTTCTGTTGAAGGCACCCATGGAATTGCAGCTGCTGAGACTGCCATTAAATCAAGGCAGACCGCTACCATGAGGTCACAGTACAAACCAAACTTGTCGACGAGCACGCCACCTATGGCAGATCCTATAAAGAAACCGGCACTGCGTCCAGACACAGCGGTGGAAATAGACTCGTAGTCGGTTTTGATTCGAATCTTTAGGTCGATAAGCGTTGGTCCAGTGATTTCCAAACACATGCCCTACAACATGGAAATAAAAGAACATTACGTAAAGAAAAGATATGGAATTCATATAGCGAAACAATGAGCGAATCGTATTTAGTTATGTAATTACTTGAATATTTCTGGGGGGACAGCCCGTTCTCTCCAAAAATCTGTCTCTTACCAAAATCCATATTCATCAGTGAACCAAAATGCATTTATTATTTTGATTTATTTGTGAAAATTACCTATGGTTTGATGTTGTTAACATTTTGACACATTTATGTATACTTTTATCTGCTTTTAATAGCACTAATTGCAATACACTATTTTCAACTTTAAATTACAATTATTTTTTGTAATCTTGAACAGAACAGGAAAGACATGTCATTTCTTTTTGTACATCGTATTTTATCATATTCAAAATATCAAAATTTAAAAATAACAGTATAAATACGCCTCGATGCCATCAATGAAATAATAAGCAATAATTATAATCTCTGAGCAAAAAGACAAATAAGTAAAATTGTGTTATACACAATCATAAATTCATGTCTTCTAAGTCAAAATGAATTTGTATGTCAGAGTTGATGAATGCGACCGTATAGTTTATCTAAAGAAATGTGCGGCTAGAACGAATGCATGTGGCTTGTCGTTTATCGCAGGTAAATATTACTGTATACTAAAATAGTTATATAGTCAAAGCATTTCAAGGCATCCATTTTAAACTTTATAATGAAAAGTGAAAAAATAAGCAAAGATATATGGGCAAATATTGCAGATTTTCTAGGTCAAAACATGCAGTTTGTTATACGTATCGGGGGCAAATTTGGACTGACTTCTCAGTGATGAATATAATTATGATAATTTATGTTAAAAAATCAAAGTTGTACTAAGTTTGAAATAACTTTAACTATATATTTGACTGCAAAGTTTCTTCAGAGAACAGAATAGAAAGAAAAATATCTATGTGGTAAGAATGGCATGTATATTAATATAAATGATGAAAACGGTGGTGGTATTAGTACTAAGTAGTTTTCACTCTGGATCACAGCAGTAATATAAGCCAGATTGTTTTACCAGAGCACAATTCAGCGCCGTATCGTTCTAAGGCAAGCTGTGAAGCAGTTTACCAGCACTAGTTGCCTTCACTTTCGCAATGAACTGCAACTTCTGTACATGCCAGAACAGAGGTACACAGAGCGAATGACCGTAGTAAGGATTTCATGATCAAAAACAACGAAAGTGACCTGTTCCGTTCGAAAATCGAACCCGAACATCGGGGGTCGTCCGATTTATAGTCCAACGCTGTACCTAATGAGCTAACCGGACGACCAAAGTGATGAACACAAAAAATTATTTGTTTATATACTCACAATACATGACCAGACGACTACCAACAGGATCGTCTTAACCACTTTCTGCACTGTCGTCTGCTCTTTTGGACGCTCGGTAGAATCCATCCTCTTTTTTTCTTCTTTTGTTTCAAAAAATGTTCAGGACCCACTAACGTCCTTCAAATTATTCATTCCACAAATGTATGTATTACTTTATTTTAAACAGTTTCTTTAATTACACGATAGAGATAAAAAGAAAACTTTACATTTAAATTTCTAAACAACCAAGGCTACTGGTGAGGCCAAACAAAATGTTCTTAGTTTTTGGTCCTGTAACATAAAAAGCCGTGCATTCCGACTGTTTAAGGAAATGGAGGTTAGAGTATGGAGGCATAAATATGTCACCATTTAACGATGAATTTATTAAAACTTTCGTGAAAGTCATAGTGGTTTTCGCGTAAATAATTGCGGGTTTCACAATTATTTACCAGTAAACCAGAAAAGAAAAAAGGAATAATTATGAATCCTTCTATAAATTATCAAGCTGATTATAGCTATTTAGTGTTATAAGTTATCAAATTGGTGATAACTTAAGCTTCCGTGTTGAAGAAATAATCTCAAAATAATGCATACTCATAATACTCATAAACATACATATACTTGTATAACTAGATAACAGGTTGCAGCAGTTTTGTTAAGTTAGTTTGGTTTTTTTTTTTTGTATTTTACACCATTTATAACACATATTAGGTCATATTTCGGCGATCCATCTTAGCGGCCGTCCTTGATAATAATCAGTAATTACCATTTCTCTCAAATTTCAAGTTTCTCTGAAACTGGACGATTACTAATCCAACATGATCTGAGAGAAGAATGGCCATGAGACTGAAGGTCCGAGATCAATTGTCGAGGAGAAATTTCGCCTCGTATGAGGATTGAACCAGTGGCCTCTGATTTAGATGTTTAAGCTAAGTGGGCGAACTTAAAGTTCCATAGAGTTCAAAATGATCACAGTTATTTCTCAAAAACAGATAGTAGTAGTTTTTGTCAAGCACCCAAGCAAAATGACGTTTTTATGCTTCCGTATCAAGGAAATGAGTTTATTACAAGGCAAACACCGTCGTATATATATGATAATTTTCATACACATGCACGTATACAAGTATAATCTTGACCTTAAAATCTTATTTGTTTATATCTCTATTTTTCGAAATATTTCATCAACAACTGTAAATGTAAAAAATGGATATACATTGTATGCATATGGTGAATTAAATACTAGTTCTGGAACCTATGACTAAGTATCACGACCATATATCCAAACAGCTGATGACAATAAAAGTGATTGCAATAAATGGAACAAAAATTGTGCATATAAATATACATGTATGTAAGAGAGTACATAGCGCATTTTTACACCATAAGACACTTTGATTCATGTGATACTGCGTACAATAACCTTAATATTTGGTTGCATTTGGCCTAAGTCCCTTACAAATGTGGCCTATATGAAAACATTACGTAATATCTTAATATTGCAATATCTATAATAAACACAACTCAATATGGTTGGTGAAATGTTCCACATATTTAAGCATATTGGTCCGAGTGTTTTTGCACTATGCATTTTATAACTAACTGGGGTGTTTTATGCAAAGACTAAAATACAGTATGCCTTCTTCTTTTGATATATCGTTGAACGCGAGTTGATTCGTTTAGTTCAGGAAAACTGAATAAATTATCCAACCAATATGGTGGCTGATTTGTGCCATTCGTGTTTTCGCCCCGCGACCCCGCCAAGCGATAAGTCGAGAATTAACAAGTTAAAATGGCGGAGGCGCGGAGAGGGCGCGGGCGAAGTTGAATAAATAAAACTTCGTCCCGCGGGGACGCGGAACGAGATTTAAGAAATAAAACGGCAGGGTCGCGGGATGAAAACACGCTAATTAGCGGGGCCGCGCGGCGAAGTTTTATTTATTAAACTTCGCCCGCGTCCCCGCTTATTAACGTGTCCCGTGACCCCGCCAAGCGAAAAGTCGATAATTAACCAGTTAAAATGTCGGTATTACTAAGTTTGATTAACAATGCCCGCATATATACGCTGCTTATATAAAGTTTAAACGTATATCAATGCAGGGTGAGAAAATGTGCAGCGTGACCGGGACTAGAATCCAGGACCTTAGTGATACCGTCCCGCGGATCTGCTGAGTGGGCTATCCGGCCGTTTAATAGTGAACAGTCAGACAAGTTTCATGAATGCACTATTGTTTTACACTTGAAACACAAAAAATAACAAAATTTTAGAAGAATAATATCATAAATCTTGAAGACTTATATTGAATACTGAATACGAGTAATTTGTTTCGTCATTGCTCTAGTACTAGGCTACCATGCTCAAAATTGCTTTCATTCCACCGTTATTAAGCTATAAGTAAATACAATTGTTTATTTTGATACCATATATTCACATTTCTTAAGAACAGATTGCTTAACCGTAGTACAACCTGGATTAGAGAGATAGCAAATTGATAAATATATCGTTATATATACGGAACGCATCGCTACTTTTTAAAATCGGTCATTTATTTAGCAGTTCCGTTTTATTAAATTTTCTAACGTTAAAGGGAGACACAGGCAAAATTTTCATTTCTTAGTTTTGAATTTTTCATTCATTATGATGTAAATGTCCTCAAAATAAATACACTAAACAGTCAAAGGAACAAAACTTTTCTCCATATAAAGAATAAAATGGTGTTTTCCTAACTTGACCCGCGTGGGTCAGGTTAGAGCACAAAGATTTCACAATAGTTGTCACTGTGTACTCTGGAAACGTTAAAGAACATGTCAAATCAATTACTTAGACTTATTTCAATCATACAGTATCCACAACACCTGTTATTGTAACTTCCAGGGTTTGTTCAAATCACATGACTTGTTTTTTAACTATTCGGTGATTCTGTTGGCGTCTAAATTTCGTTCAACATATATAGTTATTTTCAAGCTTCAAACCCAAAATATTTAGAATTTATACAGAAATTCATGCTGGGACTTTAAGAAATGTCATTTTAGGGTGAGTTGAGTACAGAAGATAATTTTTATATTTTTGTCATTATTTTGCCTGAGTATCCCTTTAAAGGAGCTTCACTGAGGTAAAAAAAAAACTAAAATCATAAAATTTGAAAATCTTACATAGACCAAATGAATCACTTCAAATAAAAAATCTACATATAAAAGTAAGGAAATATTCTAATAAAAATTGAAAATCGATATTTTTGGTGCGATTTATATCAGGATTCGAGTGAAAACGTTGCAACGCTTTTCGTTTTGGAATCATTTTGAAAACGGGAAGAGGGAATAATCTGAAAAATACATTTCGTTTTCTTTCATACTTTTTTATTATTAATTTTTTTTTCCAACAACAAAGTATGGTGGCAAGATGATTTCACTGTTGTACATTACCAAGAGAACCACCCCTACCCGGAAGTGATAAAATTTAAGCTAGACCAGGCATCTTGAGAGAACCGGCGTCCTTTAACCAGGGTAATATACCCTTGAAAAACAAGAGCTGTCAGTAGGATAGCATGCTCATCTACTCTCAGTGCTTAATAGTAAACAAATCTAGTCAGTAGAAAAATACAGGACATAGTTATGAGTCTTCGGAAATTATATTTCATTTGCATAAAAGGTCAATAATGATGAAGAAGACAAGATATAGGTTTCAAGTAAATATCATAATTAGTTTTAAAAATTGATATTGCATGCAAAACTTAAGCCACGTAGTTCAAAAAGGGCAATAATTAAGTTCAAATCTATGCGTAGAAAAGACAAACTTTGAATGTCCCTTAAAATATTTAAACATTCTTAGGGTAATTGAAAATGGTCGGTCATCAAATAATATAACATTCGTTCAATGTTATTTTGTTATACCGTTTTATTATCAGTCCCAAATGAAAATATTAACATAATGAATAATTCAATTGTTTTTTTAAACAGTTTTCAAAATACCCAAAGGTAAAAATAATTATTTCATGTAACACTGAAATTCTTTTTTATTTCTTTTTATCTATCTTTCTGATTTCTTAGGATAATACATAATATTCAATTCTGTTTCCATTCACCATATCCTTATACAAATAGCATATCTTCAGTTTTTAAATGTTTATTATGGATACTTTCCACCAACACGCTTAAAATGTTTATCATTTTTTCCTACAGATAAATCTTCCGGACTTTCTTCATCGTCGGAACCCATGGTACAAATTCCGTATATACTACATTCCCTGGTATATGCTAAACAGCCTGGAAAAACCTGAACTGTGATCCCTAAGTAATTTTTTGGCTTAAAATGTTTCTTTTATGATATTCTACCATCATTCCAAGTTTTAAGTAATTCTTAAAGTATTGAACTGTTTTAATTCCGCCTATATTCTGTCTATACGAAAACTCCCGGAAATGTCCTCATGAAAATCATTCAACTTCCTATTGACATCTACATTTCCTTCCACTTTTACTACGCATACTTCTCTTAATAACAATCAACTGCATTTTCCTCATCATCATTATTATCATTAGCTGTAACAATATCCTCAACAAGGCTGACAAGTTTTGAGGCTTCATCTAGTACCTGTTCAACTCTAGATTCATACAATGACAGATCTAAATCTAAAATCATTTTCAGATTTCCATGTGAGGCTACCGCTTCAGTATCAACTCTGGTTTCATTTTCATCACTTTCACTACAGCATGCTTCATTCAAGTGTTCTGAATTTTCATCACATTCTGGTACTTTATATAGGTCAATTGGAATATGTACATTTAACTCAGAAAAAGTATTAGTACCTGTAGTAACTTTTTCATCAATATCAGTCAATTTTCTTTTCTTAATAGTTGGCTCACAATTATTTACGTGTTCTGCTTTTTCACGTTGGCATTTTACTATGAGTTTGTTAATATATTTTTGTGTCTTGGCGCAGATTTTTAAAGCCTTTTCACTAACTTTTTCATCATAATCATCTAATGCACTAATTAATGCTGTAATCAACTCCTTAACAACTGGTCTACAATTGAACTTGCTTTTGTTCAATTTCATATTATATCTAATGTAAGATTTGTACAGTTTTTGCAGATGATCTGGCATTTCATTTAGATTACGTCCAATCATGGTAATCTGTGGCACCTGCTGGCATTCTGATGTTTTATTTTCACTGTCACAACACTCTGATATCTCGTGCTGTAGAAGAAGTGCAATACAGTTTAAGGCATTTAGTTTCACTTCCCAATCAAAATCTCTAGTTGCTGTAATAACTGTAGCCACAAAATGATCTGTTATAGCATCTAGACCGACTTCTGTGTCAGTAATGACCTTGGCCTTTAAGATGTTCAACAAAAATATGACAGCTGACCTCCTGGCAAATGCTTCTGTGTCATTTTCAACTATGTTTGATATAATCTCAATAATGGCGTTCTGAAAAAAAAATAGACAAAGAGGATAATGATAGAATTTTCTTTTGTCAAAAACAACATTCTAATGCTAAGATTTGTCTAGTCACACAATGGATGGCACAGTGGATAGCAAATAAGTTTCTAAATTTTCTGAAAATTAAAACATGTAAATTAAATCAACAGTTAATGAAAATCATTCATCACAAAGACCATGCCTCTAACTTTACCTTCCGTGTCTTCTGAGCAATAAAGCCTTTTTTAGGCTTATCAGCTCCTCCTATAATAACAACTTTTGATGGCCCAGAGGATCCAATTAGTATAATTGAGCCATGTCACAACAAAACCAACATTCAACTTTTATACCTGCATGCCATTTGTAACTCAAATGAAAACAAACTTCTTGTCATATCTTTTCATTTATGTTTAGTTTCTCAATTAAGAATCTAGAATATTAATCCAAAAGACATTAATGAGCTACAAAACCAACATAATGCGTTTTGGCTAACCAAAGCATGGATCCAGACCCAGCCTCTGCGCGATCAGGGATCCATTACTGTTCTTTTTACAGACCCCTTATAACAAAGTAGAGAAAGAAAATGATAAGAGAACAGGCAATATATTCCTGGTCTGGATCCATTGCTGGTCGCAAAGACGCACTATGTTGGTTTTGTCATGACGCCGCTCATTTACTTTCCTTAAGATACAGTTAATGGTATAACTATACACCTGTATACAGTATATAACAATACATATTGCAATACAGGTTAACTGTATCACAATATATCCCAATACAGGACTGACCCTAAAGTTTATTGTTGCAACCCTAGATACAGCATACATTAGATGATCAATCATCAAGCAAAAAATACTGAAAATTTCTAGAACAATTTACAATGTTGTTTAACCATGTCAGAAATGTCTTAATATTTTAAAATGTTATTATAAAAAATTTTTAATTTCCCTTTGTAAAGAAAACAAAGGCCCAGTAGGAAGAGTGCTATGAAAAATTTTGTAAATTTGGGGCACGGGGTTTATAAGGTAGAAAAAGCTGAAGCTCAAACATAACTCCCCCATCTTAAAAACCCCTCCCATTTTGTAAAAAATAAAGTCTATGAAAAACTTTTCCACGGGCCCTTAAATTCGGGTTTTTAAAATACAAAAAAAACCCAAAATCCCTTTAAATTGTTGATAAAAACTAAAAGTTTTTAACATTAAATTATATTTTAAATTTGGTTTTTATTTTAAATTCTGACTTCATTTAAAAATTGGAAACCCAACCGTGTATTTACTTTTTAAAAGGGGCCTTTTTCCTTTCAGTTTGGACAATACCATTCAAAACTTTAGGGAAAATTTTGAAAAATGTACTGAATAGCAAACAGTTTAAACCACGACTATTGACTGCACTGGTACAATGAGTAAATACATTCGCTGCAAGCAGGCTAAAGATTTATAGCACAGATATATAGACTGCAGAACAACAGCTCTGCCAGTAAGGCAGCACACTCTACTATTTTCAGTGCTTGATAATGTAGAAATTCTAAATTGGGAAGATTGCATTTGAAATCTTTGACACAGTTAAAATTTTCTAGGCTCATTAGTTTGGTTTAAACATATCTATTTAAGCTCAATTGCAAAACAAGTTCTTACAGCTTATATTAAACACTTTCGAGTCCGTTTCCTGGAACCAACCAGTACTGGCCTCAAGGTTATAAAACTTTTTTCTGAGTTCTGTCTCAAATCTCATGATTTTCATCGGTCAGTGTACATTCTGTGGCATTTTTTGACCAATCAGATACCTGAGCTTAAGGAATTTTTTTATAACCTTGGACCCAGGTGTCATATGAAGAAACATGGTCATGACCCGAGTAGGGCTCGAACCCATGATCTCTGGGTTGAGAGGCAGACACCTTAACCACAAAGGCCAACGCCCCCCTTAGGCTCTTTAAGGGGCCCAAAACATGAAATTTTCGTTAAAAGGCCCTGCTAAAGTTCTTGGCCCTTTGCTGACCTACAATTATGATATTTAAAGGCCTGTGAAAAAGTTTCCCTTTGAATAAAATTCAGTTGCTGGGGAAAAATATCTAGCATTTTTAAAAAATTTTTCCGGGAAACCTTTTCTTTCGAATAATAGGTAATTTTTCCTCATTTTTCCAAACTAAATCCGGGCCAGTTTTTTTAACATTAAAAATCTTTAAGTTTTGATTTATTTAGAAAAAAGATCTTTTAAAAGAAAACCTGCCCGGAAAAGCAATTTGAAAAAATTTATTTTAAAAACGGGCAGACAGTACTGAAATAAATAATAAATGAGAAAAAAACTGGTGTTGCAAATTGCAGAAATCTGTCCCTTAACCTCCTGGAATTGCACGTGATTAGCCCACACATCCATGCAGTCTGGCTCAATACATTATACTGCTGGTAGCTCAAGTTGTGTACTTCAATATTGAAATTCCTTAAAATTGACAAACATTTTACACAAATCCAGCAGTGAAAGGGCTAAAGACATTAAATTTTCACTTCACAAAACTTCAGAAATATCCTTGCAAATTTTCAGTACAAACCAACAAATCAGTTACAATACCTGTATGTTGTTGTATTATGTTCCCAAGTAATTCGAGAGTTGTATCCCTTAGCTCCCACTGTAATGCACTAAGATGGAACTGTATGGTTTCAGCCAAACTTGTAGTGAGGGATATAGAGTTAACATCTAAAACCAGTGTTGGTAACCATGCACACAGCAGTTGTGAACATAATGAATAAATCTGTAATAGAAATAACACAAGTCAATTTAATTAAATCAACTAAAACAACATTCAGTTGTGACATACCTTTCATGAGTATTTCCATAAAAGAATATCAAACAGTAATAATAAACCAAACAAAATCAACGTAGATACAAAATGAAACATATACACAACATATACAAGCACCTGCTGGGAATTGTTTGATCATTTTCCTTAATAAGGGAAAGATACCTTAAATTTGATGTCATAAAATACTTTCATATAGATGCATATAAACAAAATCACAATCTTTCCTTTATTGGAAGTACCCGTATATAGAATTTTCTACACAAATAACAGCCCTTCAAATCACAATAATGCACAAGGATAAAAAAGACTAAAAGAGGTCAAAATATTCTAATTTTCCCTTATAGTTGTGATAGCACAGCCTATTTTGTAATTTAATATCACTGATAACATTTATGGTAATTACGATCTAGTGTCCAAAATTTAATAGAGTAAAAATCTGTCAGTGGGTCAGCATGTTTGACTTTTTTATTGACAGTAAAACAAGAGCCTGGATAATGTAGAAGTTCAAAAAGGGCTATAACTCTGTCAAAATTCATGGTTAAGTTATGGGCTTTGGACAGTGACTTCCTACTTTGCTCTCAAATAAGTGTAGGATGCTCTAAAATAAGTGTATGGTTTAAGCCATTTTCCTTCAGTAGTTCTAGAGATACCAACTTGCAAGCAAAAACATAACCAAAGTGTGATGGCAACGTAGCCTGGGTTCCAGTCTGTTGATTTTTTATGTGCTTCTGTTTGGCAAATCGACATACTATCAAAACCAGAGATGTTGTGTTATCTATGACGATTGAGTATGAAATAGCGCGTAAGTTATGAATGAGCAAAAAAATATCAACGCCTGAATCCCAGGCTAATGGCAACGGTGAGGCAGACAGAAGGGTGAGTATTCTTCAAATAGTCAAACTAAAAATGAAAATAAAACAACAAAAATGTTAGTATTAAATAATATACCACAGTTTCACTATCTGGTTCCTTGAAGAGATCTACAACAATCTGAGCTTTCTTTAGTAAGCTGCACCCATTACCTGTATAGGTGAAATAAATTGTTTAAATGTATGGTTTGTATAGATATTAACATTAACTAAAACTGTTCAATCCACTGTTATTTAATTTTTACTACATGACTTATTTTAATACCTAAGCACACATACTTCTCATAAAAGTTTTCTGTGCATTTATCAATTAATACAAATCATTTCCAACTATCTTTTTTTTTCTGTCTGGATAGCTGATAAGAAAGGCACTGTACTTCTACAGCTAAGTCATTATCGCCAGTATATAGCTAGGTCCATACACACAATCATCTATTCACTAATTCAGTCTGACCAGGCACTATATCATTGGCTGACAAACTTCCAAATTTCCATCCAGATATATCTTAGTTAAAGGACAGCTTTAACCTTTACTATGCTAAATACAGAATACTTTTTGAAGTTTTCCGTCTTTCAATTTGGACAAATCATTCATCATATTAAAATATGTACTGACTAAAAAGAAAACAGTGCAGACCATGTTGTGATCAGATGGAATGGATGTTCTTGTCTGCACTAGTCAAATTGGTATAATCTGTTGCTGCCAGCAGGCTAAAGGTTATTTATTGAAGTCTTACAAGTACATTCAAGAAATAAAAAGGTTAAAGGTCAAAATCAGAACAATATAATTTTAAAATAAATGAACTTACCACTTTGTGTATCTAGGTTCATCACCTCAAGACATTTTCTTTGTATTTTTCTGTTCTTATATAAAAATGATGCTGCTTTTGTGTATGTCTTCCCTCCACATGTAGAATATTCAATAGTTCTTCTTAATAACTCTACAACATGACTGCTATCAATCTACAATAGTTTAACATATTACTATACAATAACTGGTACATTGTCATTACTTATTGTTGCTTTCTGTTGTTGTTGTTGTTTTTCTCTTCGTTTTTTTTTCTTCTTTTTTTTGGAGGGGGTGTTGCTTTCTTTGCTCTTATTTTTTAAAATACAACATGTTAAACAGTGTGTTCTACTAGTAAAACATGTTGTTGTTGTTTTGGGGTTTAACGTCACACAGACACAGTATATGTCATTCGGCAACGTTCCAGCTTTACTGGTGGAGGAAACCTCAGGTGCCCTTCCATGCACTATTTCAGGCACGAACGGGCACCTGAGTAGAAACACTGACGTTCCCTAAGCTAGCTGGATAGCTTCCTCACATGAAAAAATCCAAAGTTCTGTTGGGATTCGAACCCACAGCGGTGAGGGGCAAGTGGTTTGAAGTCAACAACCTTAGACACTCGGCCACGGACGCCCCAGTAATACATGTACTACTAATGGTTAATAATTTGACCATACTATCATACATGTATATTTACATTCAGTATCCCATGGTTTATAATTATTTAATGCACATGCCATCTCAACTTCTTATATATTCATTGATGCTCTGTCAATTGCCCTTCTTGGGGCTTTATTTCAAATAAAAGTTCTTCTTCTTCATTTTTAATGGGGTTTTTTTTTTTTTGGGGGGGGGGGGGGGTTTACATCACATCGACACAGTAAAGGTCTCGCTATGTTCCAGCTTTACTGGTGGAGCAAGACCTCAGGTGCCCTTCCATGCATTATTTCAGACACGAACGGTCACCTGAGAAGAACCACCATGGTTCCGTAAGCTAGCTGGATAGATTTTGTATGTATAATGTACACACATGTATATATGAAACACAAATAACCTTCTTTAAAACAATAGTATGCCAACAACTTAACATTTTTATCAACCTTTTTTTTGTAGCAGGTTTTAATAATCTGCTGTATTTGGCTAACACTGAATTATACAAAGGAATGTATTTCTCAACAACATGATTTATTTGGGAGACAGTGTAAAATTTTACATCATCAGTTTATAAACCTGAGTTTCCAAAATTCCATTCAATGTTCAAAATTTCAAACCATAAAATTAAATATTTGGAATTTAAACCAGAATTAATATATGACTATCAACCTTCGTGGTCATATTCCAGCGCATTTGAACTAGAACCGTGTATTATTTTACAATAATGCACTCAATATTTATATATGTATCTATTTTATTTCCTTAGTAAAGTCACTTTAAAAGTTTTGTTTGTTATTAATTTAGCATGACCGAAGTATGATAAGCAAAGGCAGAAATTAGCAAGGTACAAGTCAACTTCACTAATGAGCTAAACAATCACAGCCATATCTATGTATCTGTAAAAGAATCAGAAAGTTTGAAACCTTGAAAAAAAAAATATTAAATGAAATTCTACAAAAGTGGTTTACTTACAACATTTGTATTCAAGGACCTGCAAACAGCATCTGTACATTTACATCTTGTAGACAAACATTCTTTAAGTATATCCTCCGGAAATATCAGCTGTTCAACAGTATCTCCCAATATCCTTAAGATAGGTTGGGTGAGAAAGGCTGTACAGTTGTCCTGTAGCCTTTTACTGTGTACTGTCTGTAAACTAAAGGTAAACACGGATATGGTGTATTATACCTTTAAACAAGAGCTGTCGGTAGGACAGCACGCTCGACTATTCTAAGTGCTTGATAGTAAAAGAGCCTTGATAACGTAAAATTTAGAGCTTTGATAATGTTAAATTTTCTAAGTTCACAAAAGGGCTAATTTTTTTTTTATAAATTCATGTTATAGGCCTTAGAGACAGTCTAATTATACAGTATTGGCTTGACTATTCGGAAGGTAATGTCACAAGGGTGTTTTATTGAGTATAATAATACTAATTACCTATGAATACATAAAATTGACAGAAAAGGTACAAAGGCTTGTTATTAAGATGTTTTATCAAGTAAATCACTGCTTTATTATTATGAATGCATATAATTGTCCCAAAAAAGGCACAAACCCTTCAGTAATTATAGAGATAACAGCTTACAAGCAAAACTTTACCATGAATTTCTAAGTTGAAAAAGGGGAGAAAAATCAGCCTAAATGCAAGATAGAATTATGGATCTTTGTCAGAGACCTACAATTATGACCCTAAATGCATATGTGAAGTTTTAAATAAATATATTAAATAGTTATTGAGATATGTAAACCTTGCATGTAAACATTAACCAAGAGACTAAGTAGAAAAGGGGATATGAATCAGCCTTAATGCAGGATAGAGTTATGGAACTTGGTCAGTGACATACATTTATGACCCTCAAATTATGACCCTAAGTACATGTGTAAAGTTTCAAGTAAATATCTTTGAAGACCTTTAACCTTTAACCAAAATTTTCTAAGTTTCAAATTAAAGGGGCAAATAGTTCTGCAAATATTGCAGGCAGAGTTATGCAATTTTGCAAACTGATGAACATTGTTACTATAAAAAAGTATTTTAAATTTCAATTGAATATCTCAAGCAATAATTGAGATATTTGACGTTAAAAAAAAACTTTAACCAAAATTTCTAAGTTAAAAAGGGGCATAATTCTGTCAATATTGTAGGCAGAGTTATCCAACTTGTCAATCTGATGTACCTTGTTACTATAAATAAGTATTGTAAGTTTCAATTGAATATCTCAAGCAATAATTGAGATATTTGACTTTACAAAAAACTTTAACCAACGCGGACGCTGACACCGACGCCGGGGCGACTACAATAGCTCTCATATTCTTCGAATAGTCGAGCTAAAATTGCCTCATCAAAAAGAAACTGCACTATTCATATTGCATCTTAACGACAAATGGTTAATTAACAATAAAGTTACTTAAACAAGTCTATGTACAAAAGATATTAAAGTACATGTATATGTTGTTATTGCAATACTACAAGAATGTCTGTAGAGATAATAACCATAAAATAAACTATGTACAACCAGAGAATAACTATACACTTACCAGCAAGTTGCTAATTTTTGTGCAGTTACAATGTTCCCCTCCGAAGCCAGATCAGCAAGTTTGTTTTCAATTTTCTGGATAATGGAAGTTATCAACTCCTCTGTGGAAGGAGACTTTTTTACTTCTGTTCTTCAATTAAATGATAAAATATATATATTGGTTAAAATCAATGAAGCAACAAGTTTCAGCACTTATATCTGCCTATATCCTAAACTGAGAACCAGACTCACTTTAAAAGTCAGATAATATGAATGGTGAAATATTTAGATAATAATCGGTTCATCACAAACTAGATCAACATCTGAAAATAATCATCTTAAATTAACTGCTTACATCTTAAATGACAATTGAATGAAATAAAACAAGGGTAACATTGTCGCAAAATACGCCCATCACAAAAGCTTTTGTCAGAGATGTGGGCATTATAGATATGCGTATAGGAGATATGCTCTCGGCAATATCTGGACAATATCTGGATATCTTATCATCTCTAGTGACATTGACCTTGCAATTATTAACCTAAATTACCCTATAATATGACCCGATTTTCTAACCCGCACTAAAAATAATATAAAATTCCAGAAATATGTCCCCAAAGTCCACTGTTTACTCAGTCATTTGACACAGTAAAACAGACAGGCGGACAAGGCCAGCCGCAAATCTATAAGACCTCCTCTCCTTACACGCTAAAAGGGATATAAAAACAGAAGACAATATATTGGTTCTTCATCCCAGTGCATTTAACTTTTTTCATATATGAGCAAGACAAACAATTTATAACAGCTGCTTAGAAATTTTTTATTCTATACTGTGACAACAGGGTCTCCTTTTATCAATAAAGTTGGAAAGTCCAATATCAGTTGGAAAGTCCAATATCACTGTAACAGTTCACAAGTCATTTAAAACCCAGCAAAAATATATATAATAGCAATATCTAATAAAGTATCTTCATAAATCCCAATCATAATAACTGAAGCTCACCTCATTTTCAAAACAGCACTTAAGATATTTATGACTGCATCACAATCTCTGGCATTCAATGAGCCAATCATTTCCAAGAGGAAGTAGTAAAACTCAATATGATTGGTCAGAAGAAATATGCTGGTTCCCTCCGAGTGTCTACAAAGTGTTTCCAACAGCTGAAGAGAGCTGGGTACAAATGGTCCCACTCTTTTTTCACTGAAATGTTTCTCTGAAAAGGGGAGAGTCAAACACAATATCCATAAAATTGTAAGAAATGTTTCTTTATCATGACTACATTCAATCTATATTCCATTCTTTCTAACTTTGACAATTAAATTTATATTTCATACATGTATCAAAATTTATATATATGCATATTAATATAAATTATAAAGGTGACAAATTATATTGTCCGCATTATTGAGATTGCCCACAGACTGTGCAGGCAAGAGGTGGTTTTCCAGAATTTACTTAATAAATGAGCCGCGTCACGACAAAACCAACATTATGCGTTTGCTACCAGCATGGATCCAGACCAGCCTGATCCGCGCAGTCTGATCAGGATCCATGCTGTTCGCTATCAGTTTCTCTACTTGTAATAGGGTTTAGGGTTTGTAAGCGAACAGCATGGATCCTGATCAGACTGCGCGGATGCGCAGGCTGGTCTGGATCCATGTTGGCCGCAAACGCATTATGTTGGTTTTGTTGTGACATGGCTCAAATATCAAACAAACAAGTAAAGAAATGCTTCAAATATAAATGACAAGTACATTAAGTCGAAATCAGATTTTGCTGGCCCTATAATATAATAATAATATAATAGCCCTGATGTTTTTTATATATTATGAAAAGAAGTGTTTAGTCAAGTAGTTTGTACATTATGTTTAGGAGTTATCTCTAATAGAAAAAAAGATTTTATTTTTTTTTAAAAAACTCACTGATGTTTTCTGTGGCTGCTCTTAATATTCTAGAAGTAAATGTCTGACATTTTTCTGATATTGACACTTCTTTCTTTCCTTCCAATTCTATAATTACTGAAGATAAATATTTGACGACAGCTTTCTCCAGAAATATACTAGGACAGTTTGTCATATATTTTAGACCATAACTGGTAATGTCTGAAATTATAAAATGTTACAATACTACAGGCTCTTTCAAAAGCACTGATATACATGTAGCTTCAAAATATATATTTTATGATAAAATGACATGTATATATATATATAAAACAAAATTATCCAAAATTCAAAATGTAAGGCAAAACAAGAGGGCCATGATGGCCCTGAGGTCGCTCACCTGTATATAGGCCCTCCCAACCCCCCCCCCCCCAACGTTGCAGGGCCAATTTAACCAAAGGGCTTTTATTTGCACAAACTTGGTAGACACCCATAAGAAGATGTTTCATGCTAAACATCTAAGCTCTAGCTTTTTAAAAGAAGATTTTTTTTAAGTTTTTACTATACACATATAGTTAAAAACAATGACACCCCTGGGGCCGGGCCAGGGCTTTTATTTGAACAAACTTTGTAGACACTTACTAGAAGATGTTTCATGCTTAATATCTAAACTCTAGCTATTTGGGTTTTTTCAAAGAAGATTTTAAGTTTTTGCTTTACACATATAAAGAAAATCAATGACCCCCGGGGCGGGTCCAATTTTGACCCCAGGTCTTTTATTTGAACAATCTTTGTAGACACTCACTAAAAGATGTTTCATGCTTAATATCTTAACTCTAGCTATTTGGGTTTTTTCAAAGAAGATTTTTTAAGTTTTTGCTATACACATATAAGGAAAATCAATGACCCCCGGGGTGGTGCCAATTTTGACCCCAGGGCTTTTATTTGAACAAACTTGGTAGACACCTATTAGAACATGTTTGATGCTCAATATCTTAGCCATAGCTCTTTGAGTTCTGTAAAAGAAGATTTTTTAAGTTTTTACTATATGTATATAGGGAAAATCAATGACCCCCCCCCAGGCGGGGCCAATTTTGACCCCAGGGCTTTTATTTGAACAAACTTGGTAAACACCCATTAGAACATATTTCATGCTAAATATCTTAGCTCTAGCTCTTTGCGTTCTTTAAAAGAAGATTTTTTAAGTTTTTACTATATGCATATAGGGAAAATCAATGACCCCCCGGGGCGGGGCCAATTTTGACCCCAGGGCTTTTATTTGAACAAACTTGGTAGACACTCACTAGAAGATGTTTCATGCCAAATATCTAAGCTCTAGCTCTTATGGTTTTTTTAAAGAAGATATTTAAAGTTTTTTCTTTCGGTTGCCATGGCAACCAGAGTTCTGCATGGAATTAAATGCTTTGAACAATTTTTAAAGGTGACCACCAAAGGAACATTCCTGTGAAGTTTGGATGAAATTGGCTTAGTGGTTTATGAGGAGATGTCATTTAAAGTAAAAGTTTACGGACGGACGACGGACGGACGGACGTCGGACAAAAAGCGATCACAAAAGCTCACCCTGTCACTTTGTGACAGGTGAGCTAAAAAGCTATACTAACTAAGACCCATAATTATCTTCTTTCATAAATTAACAAAAAACATGTTTATCATACCATAATCTGGAGTGTTAGTTTTATGACACATTCTTTGACAAAATTACCAGTATCTAAGCCTTGGAAGGCCTTCCGTCAAATTTAATACATTATATAAAACTTTCTTATCTGTCTCTTGATTAAAAACTATCATGTGAAGCGTTCTAATATGTATAAATTGTTTGGGATTTTTCATCTTATTTTATTTCTTTCAATTAAATTTTTTATTTATCAATCTTTCAAAGTAATATAAGGAGAAATCAACATTTCAATATCAAAACAAAAATTCTGTTTTCATAAATATCTTTTCACCAACCTTCCATCTTTTTGTCATGAACAATCCACAATAAACCATCTTCATGTTGTGCAATTAAAGTCAGGCTGTCATATAATGCTGTTGATACAGATATATCACACAGTGATTCTGATTTTAACTTCTCCCAAACAGTGTAGAAAACATGTTGTATGCTACCTTTAAAATGTCTATAGAAAACATTACTTCCACCCAGCCAGCCTGCAAGTTCTAGTCCAAACACAACAGCACAGCTGTCCAGCTCAGTGCAATTCTTGGCAACATCTTCGACAAACTTTCCAAGGCCCACATCTTCTATTGCATCAATGCTGCAGACTAAACAAACATTACAAAATCTGTATTATTGTTGAAAAATCACTGCTAAACTGTTTTTAACACTTTGTTGAGAATAAATAACTGGTACATAAAATGGCAAAATTGTGTAAATTCATATTCTCTATATATGGATGGAATCAGTTAAAATAGTAGGGGAATGGGGTTGAGACCTGGCTGGGACTCGACCTGTCAAGCCATGCTACAAACTTATGATATGGGGGTGTATAACCTGGTACTTCATCATCTTTATTTTGATGTATTATCTTATTGCCAAAAAGGCTACCCATAGAACTTTTGGTTTACCATTTGAACCTGGATGACTACCCACTTCCTGAAATACATGTGTAACTGATAATTAAATATAGTTGCATAATAGGAAACTTTTGCAACATCAATCCACTTAAATCATATGTAATATCAAATATTAAAACATATTTCAAATGAGATTACTGGAGTTAACATGGTTTTGGAGAGGTAGGAGTGTTGCAGAGTAGGTAAGGAGGAAGGGTAGTGATCAATCAACGCGTTGAAAACCTGTGATATATAAGGGCATACTCTCAGTGGCAAGCTAGCTTTCCAGACAGGGTTTGTGTGCCATACATGTTTCACATAATACAAGATAGAAGCTGACATACATGCCATAACGTCCCGAATGTCCGGGATTGTCGTGAAATCAGCCAACCGTCCCAGAGGCAAAAGATTTTTTCAGGGTAAAAATAAAAATATGGAACTTATTTGCAGCAAGAACAATTCAAACATTATGCAATTATATTTGCATGTTAATTATCCTAAGACATTGATATCAGATAGATTTTCCAAAATATTTTAGTAATACAAAGGAACTGTTAACACTAATCCACTGATTAATAAATATGTGTGACCTTTCTCTGTCAATTAAAACATTGTAACCCTGCTGCTTGCAGGGCAAAGTGTCAACAACTGTCTGCATAAATGACTCTGCCTACATTTACCTAGCAGTTTGTCACGTACACACAACGGCAAGGTCTTTTGAAGTCTTGATAAGACCGCCCTTTATTGATGATTGACACTTCTAGCGCACCAAACAATCTCTAGCACCTGTCAATCATTTGTCTCCAGCATCAGTTTATTTAGAACTAAGAAGGGTGCTGTGAAATTAAATCTTGTCAACAAATTCTGATTTAAGGTTAGTTGCGATTTTGTTTTATACATAAAATTTGTAAGGAAATAATTGTATGGAAATAATTTTACAAGTTCTTCAAATTGTTTGCATACTTGCAATTATTTTGGAAGTGTGGCGATTTTGTGCATTATTTTTAACATAAGAGTTTTGTGATTTAACTCCTTCAGTGATGGTTCTGGCTTCAAAAACTTTACAAGCCGCTTTTTTAACATTTTTTCTTATGTCAGATGCGGCATTGTCAATGTATAAAAACAGGTATGCTGAATGCTAATTCAAAGTATCACAATATTTGCAAGTTGTAAATATCATTTTACTAGGTTACATGCTGCTATGTTAATTTTATATAAAACATTTTTTAAAGTGTCCGGAAATCAGTCTGGAAATTATGGCATGTATGGAAGCTAAACACTATAATTACATGTTTAAAACTCAAGCCTTGGAGAACCGTACATTGTGAGCTTGATTGTATTCATCTGGCAAAATGTTTAAGCAATACTTACAGGAAATTGTTACCCTACTGGTTGTACTATTGTCTGAATGACCGATGGTCAGTTATAACCATAACACTGTTAAATATATATAAGTTTTATTCTAAGTACTAGAGCATATGTTTACATGTAAAAGCATTCTATCAAACTGTTATCAGAGATACAAATCTACACTGAGTTAAACCCACGTGACTAGAGAGTATATCATATTACACAACAATGGTTAACCTCAAAGTAATGGTTGCAGCGGCACTGCAAGTCTACATCTACATCATACTGCTTAACAATCGATTCTGATTATTATGACTAGCAGTCTTGCACTGACTATATCCTGGATTAGACCCCGGGGTCTAAACCAGGAGTATATATTAGGTTCATTCCGTTTTCTTTAGTGTATTATATACAAGTTTTACTACTGAAAAATATATAGGGGTCTAATCCAGGAAATTGCCCTTGCAATAATCAGTTTACCATACATGCCATAAAGTCCCGGATGCCTGGGATTGTCCCGGAAATCGGATGTCTGTCCCGGAGATGTCCCGGGCATCAATTTGATCCCGGAAAAAAAATCAGGATATTTTGCAAAATTTTCATAAATTTTCTTAAATCAAATCTCGCACATTTCACCTCTCGATCGTAAAACATATTCTGACCTGGTACACATAATACACAGGAACGTTGACACTTACAAGTTTACAATATACAGCCCCTCAATTATCGACTGTCGATTCCCCTCGGCAATAGCTTTCTTCATGCATCGGCAATTAACGTTCTCTGTTGAATTCGGCAGCGTTTAATGGTCGGGTTAATTAATGGTTTACGGCCCTTAACAATTATTGTTAATCCCCGAAAATCATTAATTTTAAGATCAATCGCTAACTTGCCGAAAGTCTAATTATTACAAACAATGTAAATATATCTATCAAATAAAAAATTAAAGGTGTCAAATAAATCACCTTGCTGTGTTTGTTTTTATGACTGGAAGAATTGCATTACGTGACATGTAGTAATTATCACGACTTTAAGATATAACAGGTGAACAACATGGCTGCGCCCATTCACCGGGTTTATAACTTACAACTTACTTGCTTTGAGGGAATAATAAATGAAATAAAGAAATACTATAAAATGATTAATATGAAATTAGGCAAAGCCTATGAACGGGGAAGTTGGTAAAAAATCCTTTCATTGTTTCCATTTTAAAGGTGTCATTCGGTATTATATATACCCGCTTCTGTTTTCACTCGGAACACTCGACGATTATTATTAATCCAAAAAGTTGAGATTTGTTCCGTTATCGGAATATACCGCCTTTTATCATTGAGTTACATTGTAAATGGCGGCGCCTAACTAGAACTAACACTGAAAATTTCATTGATAGGTATAGAATTCTATATATTTTTTAATTGTTTTTTTATTTGATTTTCTTTTAAATATACATGTGTAGTCTATAGCCGGGCAAGCCAAAGCTTCGCGGGCCTGGACTTTGACTTCCCCGTAATATGTCGACCTAAAAGACTACTTCTAAAACTAGTATTTTTAGTAGTAAGTTAACTGTTTATCATTAAAATTCAGGAGAAAGTCGTCCTAATTCAATACGGGGAAGTCAAAGACCGGGCCCGCGAAGCGGGTCTGGTCTTTGGCTTGGCCGGCTATAGACTACACGTGTATATTTAAAAGAAAATCAAATAAAAAACAATTAAAAAATATATAGAATTCTATAACGGAACAAATCTCAACTTTTCGGATAAATAATAAACGTTGAGTGTTCCGAGTGAAAACGGAAGCGGTGCATGTAATACCGAATGACAATTTTAAAACAGAAAGAATGAAAGGAATTTTTTAACGACTTCCACGTTCATAGGCTTTGCCTAATTTCATGTTAACGTTATACGATTGACACCCACCCCCCCCCCCATCCCCCCTTTCCACAACTGCCTACACATCCATTATTGCCGCGGTGAAAAGTGTCCCGGAAAGCTGTCCAAAAATTATGGCATGTATGAGTTTACCCTAGCTTAAATCTTGTTTATCTGACTTTCCGTTAGGCTTTTGCTTGCTTATATATTATGAATTTTACAAAAGAAACAGTCTAGCTATTGAAATATTGCTATAATATAAATAAACTGATAAAGCTGTTGGTCAACTTATAAAACTATCATTCGCGAAAATATATGACAACAAGGACAAACGCTACAACATCTACAACCATACACACACTTACAATTTCGTTTGATACTATCAAACAGACTATGTAAAACTGTATCGTCAACTACTTTATTTCCTTTTATTAAGTAATCATTAACCTTTTTTATAGCAAAAAAGTTTTTACTATCTCCCATGGGCGCAGACATCTTGTTTCGATTTTTTTAACTCAACGATATATAAGTAAGGCAAATGATTGTCAGCTATTCTGTACTACTAGCGAAAAGCTGATTTTATCCTGGTTGTACTATCTACGGGAGTGTAAGCCTTATTAGGCCCACCATCATATATAACAAAAAAAATCTTATATAAAATGGTTATTTTCTGTAGGAGGTACCATTTTTGGATGAAAATTACAATCACCCAAAAGAAATTTTAACTATACATCAAAAAGATAGTTCTGTTTATAACCTCATATGAGTATATGGCACAAAACACAATTCTTTTTCACCCCCTCATCACATGGGATACATGGGTTACACAAGGTTATTGTGACTCTATGAAGTGGATATTATATTTTCAGATTGGAAGTGAATTATGACCAATTTAAAAGTTTAATTGGTGCATGGAATGGAGAGAGTTGCTCATGTACTTTCTGTCAATAAACCTGCATTATAGTTTAGCTCCATCTTCAGTTGCTTTCTTTTGTTTTGCTGCTTACTTACATGTATCTGTTTATTACACATTTGGCTTAAATTTTGTTAATATTCTATCTAGAGTATACCAGGAATGACTTTTAAGCAATCAATAAAAAGTTAAAAACATATGAAAAAAATTCAAATAATAAATCAATATTAATTGAAATAAAAGCATAGACTAGTTACACGTAGGGCACAAAAATAGCTCACTAGTTACGTTTAGTTATCGTTATCAGTGTCTCTACTCGTTATAGGGTTTGTAAGCGAATAGCATGGATCCTGATCAGACTGGTCGCAAATGTACTATGTTGGTTTTGTCATGACACGTCTCAAATCATCTCCCTTGTCATAAATTTCAGTTATTGATAATGACTGTTCAAAATGTTTAATTTAAAGAAATATTTAAAATTAATGTCTGAATAATTTGTTTTATTTAACTTAAGTTCACTTGTATATATTTTAGTAACCATGTGATCCAATTAAGTGTTATTTATATTAAGAGTATCATCGACGTAGCGGAAATGTTATTCAATGCGCGCAAATATGTAGTCCTGCTGGGCTATTTGCCAGTGGCCCTGTGTTGCTGGGTCGTCTGGGGGTTCGTTCATTGAACGCTGAGCTTCCTTGATGATCTTGTTTTTCAAATTTCCTATTGTGAAATTGGAGAGAAATTGAATAAAACATCTTTCTCGTGGCCATAAAACAATAAATCGGTGTTAAGGGTTACAAAAATAGTACATCTCACAGCTGCGAGTTCGAATCCTACCAGATTCTTTCATGTAAGGCAGATATCCAGCAAGCTTATGGAACGTTGATGGTTCTATTAAATAATGCACCGAGGGGCACTGGAGGTCTTCCTCCACTATTAAACTGGGCTGTCGCAATTAACATGGACTGTTTAATACAATTTTGATGCGACATGAAACCGAACAAACAAACAAAAGAAAACAAACAAAAAAAGCACAAAAAGTACAACTTTGAATGCAATTTTTTGTCATTGGTTTAATTAAATTAAACTCAGTTTGAAAAGGATTTCAAACACTTTTGAAAGACCCTGGTTTCAGGTTTCGCAAATACTTAAGTGATAAGTGCGTTTTGTATTAAACAATACATGTACAAGTTTAGATAAAACTTTCAACATTATTGACGGCACTGTCAAGTGCAAACCACCGTCCACGCCCCCACGTGAAGCCGAGGGTATATAGTGGCCTTACAGAATTAAGATGGGGACGACGAGAAAGAATACTGGGAGCATACATCCCATACATCAAAAAAAAAATGTTTGTTTTAACGGCCAATGGATATCTATATTTTTCTGAAGCGTACTTACTTTTTAAAAGTGTTTTGTGGCTGCGCAAAAAAAGAAAAGACTTAAAGCAAATATTATTCAAAATAAATATAGTTAGGTATTTTCGATATGTTTACCTCTAATTAGTGTACAACTACGCAGTTGTACACTGATATTTAATATATATCTTAATCTAAGCTTTATAAATATGCCTTATACATTTTTTTTTATTTATGCTGATAAATGTTTTGATTTTGACATGTGAAAGTTTGTTTGAAATAACCTTTAAAAGCTATGTTTTGCCTCCTTTTTTACAATAAACTCATTCAAGCACGGTTTAATTCTCCGTTTCGTAATAAATGCGTTTAAGTGGAAACATTTAATCCAGCGAAAGAACGTAATAAATTTCATTTAACATCCCTGTAAGTTTTGTAATTATAATAAGTGCATGCATGCATATCTTATTGAACAGCCCTTTTTGTTGTAACGAGCAAGACAGACAGCTTGTGTAATGTTTGTGTAAAGCACTCACATCAATACATGTTATATATACATCAGCCTAGACTACTTTATAGAATTGTATGTGTTTTTATCTGTGATAGAAAGTGACGGAATACACAAGGAATAAAGTCTTGGTTGGTACAGTTAACACATTATATATGTTTATGCTTGACGTGTTGTTTCTTTCTATATACAATAGCTTATCAGTTACTTGATCAATAGCTTAGCTTAACATGTAAAAAATACACATTAGATCTATAGATAGTTCAGATGTGTTAGTAAATGCATCAACAAAATTTGTAACTAATGTTTATTTATAAGCAAAATTACCGAAGCGATATATCATAAATAAAGACACATATATATATATGCGCAAAGCTAATAATTTATATTTCCTGTTTGGATCCCTTATCCCAGCAAACACCCGACGTTGACCCAACGTTGGATCAACGTTGAATTTTGGTCGCGACGTCGGTGACCTTCATACAACGTCAAATCGACGTTGAATCCCCGACGTCTAACAGACGTTGCATTTTGACGTCGACTCGACGTCGGGTTTTGGTCGGTAATCTGACAATAGGTAAATTTAATTTATGAAACCAATATATAAATAAATGAAAGCATAAACAGCGAGAATTTTAAGTTTAAGTTTAGAAAGGGAACATTATATATTTATTTTCTCCATCAAAACAACAGTATCACGTGGGTGGCTAACGTACGATATTCGATAGGTGGCGCTCTGTAAACGGATAGTCGCAGATCAGTATGAAATATATTTGCTCTATTTTCGTTTAAATAATATCTTATCTCCTCGAATTAGTCTAAGAAGTGTTTATATAATTTACAATGAAGTTGTTATCATTTTTGAGGGCTTCATTTTATAGTGGTAAATAATTTAGTAAATTCGAATTTGCGACTTATCGGATTTGAAATTCAATTGTATTGGCGGACAAAAAACGACGGGTTGACAGACAAAGTTGTGTATTCCAAACAAAAGAAAAAGGTAGGCAAACATTATATATTGTTTTTCAATGCTAATTTACCGCATGTTTGCATGGATTCGATGGTTATTTGATCATTGAAATGTTTGACTGGTAAAACTTAATGTCACGTGATTTCGCGAGATAAATATTTTTGTTTCCACGTAAGAACACTTTATCATTTGCTATAGAACAGTCTGTATAATCGGATCATTTTTCCCACACTATATCGCCATGCCAAATAAATGCACAATCAATGGTAGGAAATATCCTAGCAATTGAAATCAATAAAAAGTTAAATGCAGTACGTAAGACTCTTATTATTCAAATGCTGGTAAATGAAAATTCCTCTTATTTCTTATCAACATGAATTTCACTTATATGAGGGGCCAGTCATTTACACATGTATCAGATGCAGTTTGATTTTGATATCTGTGTAGTTGTTAAACTACTCGTTGTTAATTGTAGTACTTTACCCATACTGTAAGCATACCATGTGTTTCTTATATTATGATAATGATTCATGGCATTTGATACATGTAAATGATACGACTTTTGTAAGATATATCTGAAAGCACATAGTATTTGACTAGCTATCTTTTTATTAATGTAATCAAACAACATATTATCAATCAGAAAACACATTATCATAGTTATAAATCAATAAAAGTAATAGTTTGTTAATTAGCCTGCTTATCAACAAGTTGTATGCTCGTATCATAAAACGTTTTTACACTAAGCCAGTCTGTCCTATATACACTTAGCAGACCAGATCATGCTGGGCAGAGATGATATCTATAAAAATGACAGTAACATGTGAATTTCTTTGATGTTGTATGAGCATTTGTACAAAGTACTTTGAATATAAAAAATAACAATATCAATTTTTGCGGGAGTAGAATTAATTTGGTATTTGTTATATCAGTTTTTCATGCGCTTATGAGTTAACTAAGATTAATAGTAATTTGATTTTGCCTATTGTATTAGACAAACATCCTTTCACCACATGGTTAAATTCTAAAACGATTATATTTCGTCTTTCAGATTGTGAAAAGTATGATAATTCAACATGTGTCAAAAGTTCATGAGGAAGATGAAAATATTTAGAGGAAAAGAAAAATGAAAACCTACCAAGATTTTGTGACAGGTATATTTCAAAATATTATAGAAAATACAGTGATCTTATTACCCTTGATTTTATAATGAAATTCTTCACGAAGCCATTTTTATCAAAATTAATAGATATATACAGTAGGTACACGAAACTACATGGTTTAAACTAAATTAAAAATAATAAGTGCATGTATCTTTTTAAGTAGTTGGAGAGTTTTGTTAGAATTTCGTTTAATTATAATATGTAAAAGTGATTTATTTCTTGCACTTGTAACTGGTTATTTTATTTTTTTTTAATTTCAGAAAGTGTGATGAGATCTCAGGTTGGAGACGGTAATGATACGCTTAAAGTATGCCCCAGATCGACATAGTGGAGGAGGACGAAAGAAGCTAGAATACTAATGAAGATACATGAACATTGCTATTTATAGTTATAACAAAATATTCAGAATATTGTTCCATTTAACATTCAGATCTAGATTCAGTTATAAAATACAAAGACAAATATACATTTAGTGAGTTGGATAGATGATTGAAAAATCCCAAACTCAGAGTGATCAGTTCAGTGGTGATATAAGAAAAAACACATGCATGGATGTTTGCTATATAAAATGTCAGTGTTAATATTCAAGAAGGATTTTGTTTAACATGCTTAATTAATACATGAAGCGTTACTAAAGTACATACCGTCAAGTTAAATAGTTTCAAAAAATATTATGTAAATCTTGCATTTGTTATATATAGTACCATATTTCTTGTTTTGTACTTGTGATTCCGAGTATAAAATAAATTGCTAAAATCATAAGAATGCTTATTTTCAACCCTATTAAAGAGCTTTAAAATGAAAAAAAAATCATATTCCAAAAGTTTTGAATGAGGTTAAATCATGGTTAGAAAATTTGGTCAGATAAGGTTGGCATATGGTCAGATAATGGTCAGAAAAGGTTGGATTATGGTCAGAAAAAGGTTTGATTATGTCCCAATAATGGTCAGAAAAGGTTGGATTATGGTCAGATAATGGTCAGAAACGGTTGGATTATGGTCAGAAAAGGTTGGATAAAGGTCATTTTATGACGTTGTATAGACGTCGGTTTCTGACGTCTAAAAAACTTTCAAATCCAACCTTCTGCCAACGTTTACCCAACGTCAGGGTCTAACGTCAGTACAACGTTGGTACAACGTCTTTTGTTTGCTGGGTATAAAATCGAAAACATGTGTAGATGAACACGAAAAACGTTAAATATAGAGAATGCTCAGACTTGCTGTTAGCTAGATTACTTAGAATGTTTATTGACTCGGATAATCATTTAACACGCATAATAAAACGTTTGTTGTATTATGAAAATGATTAAACATGTATGTTAACTTGGCGCAAGTTTATTGTTGATATCAAAATTAGATCTAGGCAGTCAATGTTAAAAATTTAACAAATTTTCTGATTTAATTAAAAAAAAATAAACCTTATTTTTATGCACATTTTTCATTCAGACATTCACACATGTAAATGTAATAGTATATTTATTACATTCATGATATTGCAACTTTATTGAAAATATGATAAAAAAATAGGATGAGTTGCACTTTTATTTCCGATTAGACACATATGTTACGTTCGTCTACATGCTGACCTACTAACATTTTATAAGTTAGATATAGCCGCCCTTGAGACATTTCCTGTGCTAATTTATACTTTATTTTAAATCCGCGTGCCTCCAGGTAAGCAAAAATATTTAAAGAAAATCAAACCTAACAAAATGTACGATTAAGAGCAACAAATATGATCTACGCAATCAATTGTTCAAAATACGCAATTGATTTTTTAATATGTATCAAAAACCAATTCAAAAATTAGGATACGTACGCAATTGTAAAAGATCTATCAATTAATTAATTACGAGACCGCAGGTGTGTACAGTAGAGTTTTAACCTACTAATCTAGCCTTCTGTAAAATTGTATCATAATTAACAAGTTGTAGAATAATCCCAATAAATTTATTAGCTAATAATGTACCCAATTCCAAATGAAATGATCAGATGACGGAGATACCAGGGACAAAAAGAATTTTTGGTCTCGGGTTATACTAAAAGTATCCAATTCACTTGTAAAGCTTATCTGTTGCTTTGAATGAAGATTACTTAAAGATTCAATTCAATGTACTGTTAAATAGGATGATAATTATGAACATACAATTTATCTTGGAATGATCATATGATGTACGACAGGGTTTTTCAAATTTTCGCTTTCAACAGACCCTGATTTGAAAGACCCTGTGAATAAATAAAAAAATGAAAGTTCCGTTCTATTCTAATAATTAAAAGTTGGTCCTTTATTTTTGCAATTACATTGTTTAACAATATAAATTGGCCAGGATATATTAGATTTATGTAAATTGTTAGATTAAAAAAAAGGTTTCTTTCGAAATAATTTTGATGATCAAAATAAATCTCAACAATTTTATAATGTGATTTATGACTTTCCCAAAAGTACATAGTGTAAATTGAAAACAGGTGATATAAAAGCACGTAATCAGTTAAATAAACACTGACCAGCCAATAAACAACTTGACACTGACAAGATTAAATTCTACCTAGGCAATGTCACATAATAATAAAACATAAGGGCTTAAGTATAACTTTATATTATAAGAAGCAATGAAAATAGAAATACATTTTTGTGAATAATGCAAATTTTAAAGCGGTTTGCCTCAAGTAATTAAATTTATTTTTTTAAACTTCAAAAAACATGTACTGCATGAATGAGTTTTTACATTGAAGTTTGAACTGTGGACCATGATAGAATGTATGAGTGACCAACAGATTAAGAGAAATATCTGCATATTTTGACAAGTTGTAGGTATTCAGTGTATAAATATTTAAAGGCCTTAGACAAGGCTATAACTGATTCGTACATTTGACAACATTGAAAACTCAAAATAAATGCAAATCTGTATAATTATGCTTTCAGACGATAATCTATATAATGTTGTGGAAGAAATGCAGATAAGTTGGGCATTGGTGGATTGAAATATTCACATTAATTA